ATTACTTTGAACATGTAAAAATGACCATAAAGTTGTGCAAGGATCTCTTGTGGTGAGTGTACAGATGTTGTTAATGAAATTCAAATACAACAACCAAGATTAATTTAAATGTAATTCCAATCATTACTTGAGTCTCTAGAAGATTATTAAATCTATTTTCTTCTCCCTTCCCTTACTCAGCTGCTCCATAGCCTCCAAACATTTTTAAAGCCCCTTTTTTACTCCACCATCCAAATACTTCTTCTGTTCACTTCTATTTTCTCTTGGCTAAAACCCATAATTTTACAGCCAGAATCGGTACCTATGCTGTAATTTCCAGTGACCAACCACTGTTGGCAGCTTTAGGATTGCCAGAGAACCCATAGCTCCATGCTTCCTGGTCTTCTGTCAGATCCTACGGAGGAAAAATGCAAACTTTTCTGATAAATAATATTTTTTCTTTCTCTGATTATTTTTTCCATGAAACATTCTTGACAGATGAACTACACAAGTACTCACAGACATACTAATTAAACTACAATAAGGTGCTACTTTTCCATCTACTAAAGTGTTAGAATTTTTAAAGAGTAGGGAGAAGGGCGAAGTTTTCAGTTACTAGAGAGTAAAAATCAGGTCTTCTTCAATAGAATAGGTAAAATGCCTGTTTGGAGTGAGCATTTAGCATCCCTAGCCAGCAATTTCATTCTAATAATTTACACCAAGGAAATAATTAAAGATGTCAGCAAAGATTTAGTCCCAACTATGTTCACTGAAGCATTGTTTGTAAAAACCAGGGCTTTGAACTGGTTTGGAACCGTTCAGTAATTGCTGATTAAATGAGAGCAGCATACGCATTGCCTAGCAACCAAATCTGTTGCCCACGGATTTTGACCCAAGTAGGAAACAAACAGTGGTGTCCTGCTCAAAGATGGCGGCTAACCATGCCACTTTGAATGTGTGTCCTGTCCACAATTCTGCATATAATCCAGTCTCCAGGAGCAACAGATTTGGTTGCTGTGCAATGCAGATGTTGCCCTCATTTACGTTGGCAATTACTGAACTGTTCCAAACTGGTTCGAAGCCCTGATAAAAACAAAACGAAGAAGACAAGGTAGATGTCCAACAGTAGGGACTTGATTAAGTAAATCCATTCAATGGCCCATTACACTGCCATTAAAAATGGGGTTTTAGAATTGGATTGGATTTGGAAAGATGTTCAAAATATGCTAGGTGAAAAAAAGTAAAAAAGCAGGGTTATGTCTCCATTTTTGTAAAACAATTTGTGTTTTTGTGTCTAAGAAACTTCAGGTGGTATTCTTATTAGTCAGTTTTATATTTCTACTTATTTGTATTTTCTCATTTTTATTATATTATGTAATTTTAAATACTGAGCTTGAGCTCCTTTTTCTCGTTGGTCAGTCAATATAGTACCTTCGAGTTTTTTGTTTTGTTTTTGATTGTTGGTTTATTAAACAGATACACAGTCCGTGAATCCCTAGTCTATTTCTCAGAAACTATGCTTGTGCTAAAAGTCACAAAGATGAACACTCTCCCTGCTCATACTGTTTAATGGATAAGATGGGCTTTTAGATCAATAACAACATAATTTAGTAACTGCTACAATAGCAGTGGGAGCATAGAAGATAAGGGAGTAACTGGCTGTGCTCAGGATTGCTTTCCAGAGGAGTCGTGTGTGGCTAACAGGGACTTTCTGGTCTTTGAAAGTGCTAGTATGAGCATACAGGCAAAGGGAAAGAGCCTGTCTGAAAGCCTCAGAATCATCCCCTTTTGAACCTTGTGAGAAGCTACTCAAATGAGGTTCCCTTCCCCTTGCCTAGTGCTTAAGCCAGCCCCTGCCCTGGCTTAGTGATGGTGTCATGAATATGGACTTTAAACCACCGTAAGAGCTGCTTCTACTGGGTGCCAGCCCAGGACCAAGAGTTCTGCCCGAAGTTCGGCGTCCTTGCCCACTGGCCAAAAGCCAAGGTACACTGACATGGTTCTTGGGGTTTTCAAACCTTTGCTGCTTATCTGACCTTGATACCTTTCTAGGCTGCCTTCTGGATTTGGCTTTGAAGAGTCTGGGTGGATACTTTTCCCCTCTTCATCATCAGATCCACCTGACTAGCTTCAACTACATATACACTATCCATTTCCACAAATGCAGGGCTTGTGTGGGGGATAAGTCAGAGGACAGAGTGTCTGGTGGAAAGCATGCAGGCTCTGGGTATCTCCTATCTAGATATATTTGCATGTTTTCTGCTTGTTAATATTGTATCCTCAAGCAGATCATTTTACTGCTTGGCACATCAACCTTCTCATCTATAAAATGGGCATAGAGAATTACACAAGGATGTTGGGAAGATTAAAAAGGACAATATATGTAAAAGAACATTCCATATCTAATGCCAGTTATTTTTAGTAATGACAATTCATTGCATCTTCCATTTTGCTCATAGCGTAGACCTGAAAGCAGTATTTAACAATTCATTCTGACTATACTATACATACTATATAGTTAGTACTGACACATCCACCTTCCTTAGAGAAATTTTTTGAGAGCAGAATGTCTGTCTTCTCCTGTATATTCCCCAAAGCACATAGTCTTTTTCACCTAGAAGATAGCCGGACAATTCTACTGCTCAGCTCTGTAACCCTGCTTCCTGCCATAGACTCGAACCAAGGCAGACTATTAAAATGGAACATACCTTCTCACTTCCAGCTTCTAAATGGAAATGAAAAACAAAATAAAGTATATTCTGTAGTAATAGGTATATTGGTTCTTTTTGTTTTTTTTTAAGTCTCACAAAGTGAAGCATTTAGGTATAGCCCAAGGGATTGGACAGAGCCAACCAGGAGAGGCACAGACCCACCACTCGAGTGGACAGCCTCAGACATGGCCTCCCTGTGGCCAGCGATGTGCACTCTTGGTGAGAGAAAGAGCAGACAGAGGTCAGGAAGTCAAGGGTAGGCCCACATGCTCCCACAGCCAGCCTCAGGCAGGTCTACAGTAGAGGCAGAGAGACTGACAAGTATTTAGGACATCCAGTGTGCAAGGCCTGGGTGTAAGTACTTTATACAGGTTATTTCATTTAATTCCATCTTCTGGGTGCCTCATAAATAACTCCCTTCCTCTAATAAGGGTTGCTAAAGCAAGACACATAGGGGCTATTGCTTCTTATTAAAAAACAGCTTTATTAAGGTGTGATTTACGTACCATAAAACTCACTTGTTTTAAATGTGCTATTCAACGATTTTTTGTAAAATTACAGAGTTGTAAAACCATCACCACAATCCAATTTTAGAGTATTTCTATCAACTCAAAAAGACCCCTTGTGCCCAGTTGCCATCAGTCTCCATTCCCACTTCCAGCTCCAGGCAAAACACTAATGTACTTTCTGTCTCCATAGATTTGCATCTCTAGATATTTCATATAAATGGAATCACATACCAAGTGGTCTTTTGTGTCTAGCTTCTTTCACTTGGCGTAATGTTTTTGAGTTTATCCATGTGGTGGCATGTATCAGTAGTTCACTTCTACCTTTTAAAACAACATATTTAAATGCTCTGGTATTTTGAGATCAGATGCAGTTTTATGATTCTGTTTTTCTGAAGTACTCTAATTATATGACCAAACTGATGATCTTTTTCATTTCCTCCCTAGGATTTAGTGACTTTTGAACACCAATGGACTAGCTTCTTTGCTAATTTTGACACAGAAATTCCTTTCCTCCTGGAGCTTTCTGAATCCCAAGCGGGTGAGGTATGTCAGGGAAGGGTCAAAAAGAAAGAAGAATTGGTTGATTTGTTTATTGTTTTTGTTTTAAAAAATACAAAGCTATCATCTTAATTTGTTTTGGTTATCATTTCCTTTGTTACATGCTATAAATAAGTCCCACCCTGCCCCGTACTAACCCCTGTGTAAGTTGGTTTTTTCTTGTGCCGGCTTCTCAATAAGATAGATAATCACTTTTCAGTGTGGTGGTGCGTCTGACGGCCAGGAATTCTGTTGGAGAATTAGAGGGAACAGAATTTAAACCTAGTTAATAAGTCTAGGAATAATTCTTCTATGTAAGTAGCACACCTTTGTCAACTGGTCCTCCAAGTAATGACAAGCTTTCTTTCTAGGCAAACAACAGTTAATAGTGAGGAGGAGTTAACTACCTTCAGGCCACTCCATGAGTAAATTGAAGTATCTAAATTGAGAACCAACACAGGACAGTTCCAAAGACTAGTCAACAGGAAGAATCAGAGAGCTGCCTTCAGCTTGCCCTGGAGCCTGCCTTGGACTTGGACTGCCAGTCCTCAGTTCTCCTGTATACCACTGTGGCCCATAACAATCCCTTCTCTTGATCATTTGGAGCTGGAGTTGATCTTTCCTTATACTTCGGCCTTAATTTTAAACCACAAGCATATGAGCCATTCAGAATTCAGCTCTTGCCAAACTGTCCTTTTTTTCAGGGTATGTTTCTGTTGACTGATTTTTCTCCTGGTAATGGGTCACGTTTTTCTTGCTGCTTGTATGGCTATTAATTTTTGAATGGATGTTGTTGATAGATTTTTTTTTGTGTTTTTTTATATAGCATTGGCTTTTTTCTATCCGGCAGTTAAGTTACTTGAGGATTAATTTGATCCTTTCAAGGTTTGTTTTTAAACTATTTTAGGTTGGTCTAGAGTAGGTTTTATTTTAGGGCTAATTAAATATTAATAGGAAACAATCCTATACTTAATGTATTTTCATATTTGGAAGTATATATACCTAGTGATAAGATTGCTGGGTCAGAAGGTAAGTGCATATGCAGTTTTGTTAGCTATTGCCTAATTCCTCTTCAGAAGTGCTTTATAATTTGCATTTCCATCAGCAAAATATAAGAGGACCCGTTTCATCACAGCCTCACTAATAGAATATGTTGTCATATTTTTAGTTTCAGTTAGTCTCACAGGTGAGAAATGGTATCTCAGTGTTATTTTAATTTGCATTTCTGTAATTAGGAGTAAATTTGAACATTTTTCATATGTTTGAGGGCCATTTTTACATTTTGCTTTCATGTCTTTTTCCCATTTTAGGATTGGTACAATATTATTAACTGAACCACACAGCATAGGTTTTAGGTCCTTGGTCTTTCTGTTTTTTTGTTTGTTTGTTTTTTTGATGGTCTGAGAATATGTATTTCATTTCTTTACTTATTTTTTAACTGTTTTTTTTTTTTTTGTACTTTAGATGAAGGTTTACAGAACAGATAGTTTCTCATTAAACAGTCAGTACACATATTGTTTTATGACATTAGTTAACAACCCC